TTATAATGCAGTGTAAATTTCTGGAACAAAAATCCTCAAAACATAGTCATTTAAACCAAATAAAGATTTATTTCTCTTTTATAAAATAGTTCATTTGTAAGTGGTATTTGGTGGGCGACCTGTAGTCCTTCAGTACATGACTTCTGTCTTGAGTATAGAATGACTGTTGCAGCTTTCTTCAGTTGTATGCAAGCCAGCAAAGAGAGGAAAAGACAATGTACTCCTTTTACATACCATCCAGAAATGTTAGTATCTATCCTGGTGGCCAGAAAGTCATTGCATGACCATTCTCACTTGCAAAGATGGTTGGAAATCTACYTATATACTTGTTAAAACTTGGGAGTCCTGCTGTTAAAGCACAAAGCAGAAGAAAGGGTGTTAGTGGATAAGTAGCAATGTATGCCACCCACAGATTGCTTCCTACCTTGCTACTATAAATAATGTAATGAGTATTCTTGAGTATGTTTTGGGGGATATATATATATATATGTATATATATATATATATATTTATATAAATTATTCTTAATAATTTATCTTACATATATATATATATATATATATATATATATTTGTAAGATAAATTATTAAGAATTGCTGAGTCAAAGGATAAGTGTATCTTTTATTTCAGTGTTACTAAATTTGTAATGTCTAGGTTTAGGGGATGTCATAATATTAAAACAATTCTCAATAAGAATATTCATGTAGGCTTAATCATTATACACTGAAGCTSTCAGGACCCATCCCCCTGAAACTGGACTCCTAGATTAATATAAATCAAGAGGAAAGCTCTTTGGCCAGTATAATCTTAGATTTCATTTATTGTATGATATACTAGGCCATAGGAATCAAGCACAATTAGGGTTCAAATTTAAGAGGAAGGGAGCCTTTCATAAAGCTTTTTACAAATTCTGAAAGTGTARTAAATTCCTAAGTATCTTTGTAATTTCTCAATTTCATCTGGTTTCTGTTACCATGCAATAAAAGGGCTAGGATGAGGAGTTTTCGATAATGTTTTTTCTGGGCTCCTGACTGATCTTTTGAAAATCTAAGATGTACACCACTACATATAAGTTTAATTTTTTGCTCTGCATATCCATCTGGAGTATAAATATATACAGATGGGCTTACAGAGAYCAGTTTACCTATCAAGAGAATGGTTTTGTGAGAGAAGTGATAAATCTCCAAAGAGCAAAGAAAATCCAGCACAYTGATCTTTGGTCACTCAAACCATGTACCCAAGGAGCGTGGTCAGAGGCTAGAAGAAGKGGGTAGAGCAGTAGCTTTACTTAAGGCCTCAATTATAACTAGTATCAATTACATCTCTGTAATTTCCTTCTGTTTCTTGGTTTTATTAGATCAGTACTCTCTTTTAAAAAAAATATAGTGAACTCTTAAAAATTTCCATTAGGATTTGATCCCTATCACCACAAAAATAAACAAACAACAATAACAAAAGATCTCTTGTCATTAAGAGATAAATTTTTATAATTTTTTCTAGTGTAGTGATAGATTAATAGATTGCATTCTTTCCTAAGCTTTTAATTGCATGTACTTGTAAGAGGACTCATCAGTGATAGAAATTTGGTTTATAGGATAATATAATTTACATCATAACAGTAGCTAAAGCTTCTCTAGAGTGTTGCATAAGTTTCCASTGTGTCTACATCCTTGTAGCATCTCTGTAGGCTTGAGGAGGTGTTTGCAACTTGGGAAATTAAGTTTAAAGAGGTTGGATTTTGCTTAGCATTTTTTTGTCTGGGCCTAGAACTCCAGTCTTCCAGCTCCAAATGTGCTCTTGATCTTACCCTTCCAAAGCTTACTCTTTGTGGAAGGAATAAATTCAGGACTTCATTCTTATCAACTGAGCTAGCTGACCTGCTTGGTCACAGCAAGTGAAGAAGGGGAAAAGTAACTTATTTTTCTTTCAGTATCCTAAAAAGGTTATATTGTGTAATTATTTCCATGATACAGAAAAATTCTGGTAGGAATATTTGTTACTAGATGTTTTGACTTGAGTCAGTGTTGGAAACTAGGTAGCTTCTTAATTTTGAGACTCCTTTCAATTTAAGAATGCCATCTGGTGGTGGTAGATGGAGTTGACTCATTTTTGGCCTGCGRCTTTGCTTGTAATTATGAAAGTTCTGTCCTGGTGGAAAAGCGTGTAATCAGAAGCAGGAATGTAATGTGATTTTTTTTTTCTTTTTAGTTCCCAAATCTTTGGGATTAAAAAAACAACTTTTTAAAAACACAGAGACATCACCTTTTTGTTTAATTCTAACACTTATTTTTTTTTTTAATGTAACTCATGACCCATTGTAGATTATGAAATCATTTAAGTGGTYGAAACATCTCTGAGTTTATGGCTCAAAGATTTTTTATATTTAATCTTTTTTTTCAAATTGTGGATGATAATTTGTTAATGGATTATGAAGTTGAGTTAGTGTCTTGTCACCATCATTTAAAAATAGAAGTGAAAAAGAAAATATAATAGTACTTTTTAATGGARAAAGTTTATTAAGTAAACTTTTGTTTCATATACATTTACATGTATGTGAGTGTTTGGGTTACAATTTTAATATGTATTACCTTGGATTGCAGTCAATCATTTGCAAACTACTAATTATTGTGATAGCCCCATCTACTGGTACTAAAGGATATTGTAACTGAAGGATTTTAGGTGRTGGTTTATAGTTTATGCTCTGTGCCTTTATATAGTCTTTTCCTTTGTGATTTGAAGAGTATATATATATATATTTTTTTTCTGAGTAATATTTGTTATTAACACATGTCTAGATTCTTTCTGATCAATACCAGATGCAGGATGTTTTGGAGAAATCTGATCATTTGTTGGCTGCAGCAAAAGATCTGTTTGAYGTTCCTCGTAAACGCACAGGTAAATAGTTAATTAAAATAAAGCTTCTTTTTATTATTAACTATAGCCCACAAGTGGGTGTTTAGAAGAAATTTAAATTCATTTCTCAGGCATTATATTATTTGCATTACAAATATTCAAGGTAGGTAGTATATAAGGTTGTTAGGGCTAAACTTTATGTAATTTTTTTGCTTTTTACTAAGATTATTAACTTATAAATTATTCAGCAAAGGAAAGATAAATCATTATATACTAAAATATGGTGTAATACCAGAAAAAACAAGTAACCCAATTAATAAATGGGCCAAGGAACTGAACAGATAATTCTCAGAAGATGATATACAATCWATCAACAAATATATGAAAAAATGTTCAACATCTCTAGCAATTAGAGAAATGCAAATCAAAACTATTCTAAGATTTCATCTCATTCTAGTCAGTATGGCAGCTATTAAGAATACAGACCAATACATGTTGGCAAGGATATGGGGGGAAAAGGCACTTACATTGCTGGTRAAACTGCAAATTGGTGCAACAACTCTGGAAGGCAGTGTGGAGATTCCTTGGAAAACTTGGAATGGAACCACCATTTGACCCAGTTATCCCTCTCCTTGGTCTATGCTCAGAAGATTTAAAAAYAGCATACTACAGGGACACAGCCACATCAATGTTTATAGCAGCACAATTCACAATAGATAAACTGTGGAACCAAACTAAATGCCCATCAGTTGATGAATGAATAAAGAAAATGTGGTATATATACGCAGTGGAATACTATTCAAGATTAAAAGAGAATAAAATCATGGCATTTGCAGGTAAATGGATGGAGTTGGAGAATATAATGCTAAGTGAAGTTAGCCAATCCCAAAAATCAAATGCCGAATGTTTTCTCTGATATAAGAATGTTGATTCATAATGGGGTTGTGGGGGAGCATGGGAGGAATAGACAAACTCTAGATAGAGCAAAGGGGAGGGAAAAAAAGGGAGGGGGCATGAGGGTAGGAAAGACAGTGGAATGAGATGGACATCATTACCCTAAGTACATGTATGAAGATAGGAATAGTGTGAMTCTACTTTGTGTACAACCAGAGATAAGAAAAATTGTGCTGTATATGCATAATATGAATTGTAATGCATTCTGCTGTTATATATAACAAATTAGAATAAAAAATTTAAAAAGATCTTTTATCCTTTATATGAACAAGCATAAATCAAATTTTTTCACTTTGTTAAGAAAAAATCTATTATTGTCTGATAATAACAAAGTAGCTTGTGTTGGATCAGTTCTCCCACAGGTAACAAATATAAACAATATGAAATATTATCTTGCTTTAAATTTTTAAAAAATATATGCTTATTCAAGGAAAAATATGGTGTAATAGGGATTTCATAATTTAAAATGAGACTTGCTTTTCAGCTTATTAATATGTTACCATATAATTAAAATACTTGTATTTATATATAATCTGCGTAAAACAATTTGAAACTAAAGYAAATTTATTTTCTTGCTAAAAAACTTTGAATTTTAGTTTACTGATCTGTAAAATAATCATAGTACCTACCTCATACAATTTTGTGAGGGTCAAAATGAGTTAATATACATATAAGCATTTGGAACAGTGGCTGATATATAGTAAGCAATACATAAGTTTAAGCTGTTTTTATTATTTTAGATTTTCATATAATGATGCATATACATGGCAGTGTAGAACTTGAGAAGTCAATTTAGTTAAACAAAATCATCATGACTTCTTTTCTGTCCTCAGGGTTTCCAAATGTAACAATGGCTCCTGATTCCTCTCAGAGTCCCATAATGGTAAATCAAGATCCTATTGCCCAATCTATCCTTAATGAGTCTGTCATAGACCCTCAGGTAATGTGATCTACTCACGACTATAATGCTCATGCTGAAATGAAGTTTAAGTTGATGTAGGCATTTTGGTAAACWTTTTAAAAGCTTAAATATCAATAACTTCTAGTTGCWGTTGCTAGTTACTCAAGCACATTGCATTTTATATGAGTACCATTTGCCTAAATAAGATTGGAGACTGGATAGTAATAGCCAATGTTTGTTGAGTGTTTACATAGGATCTAGGTACTGTTGTTATTCTCATTTAATAGAAAAAGAGACTGAGGTTTGAAAAAACTAAGTGAGTTGTTCAAGATCATTTAGATTGCAGCMGAGACCAAATCTAATTTAAGTCCTGTGGCTCCATAACACTGTCAGTACCTCTTAAGATATCTGATTGTCACAGAGTGCTTTTTGTTCGTTTTTATTAAATTGGAATAAAATATACCTGACATCCTTGTTGTATGGATCTTGAGATTGATTACATAAAGTATTTAGCATGATACCAGGAACATAGTACTTCATTAAATGTCAATCTCTTTTAATGTATTAGTATATTTAAAAGGTATCTGCCCAGAAAACTTGGAATTTATGGGAAAATAATACTAYATGAGGAAATGATACTATACTAATAAAATATTAATTAGCCAAAATCTARCAATTGAAATTTTTAGTCAAAATGTTAAGAATTTTGAAATAGTACATTTTTTAAAAGCTCATGAAGAAATAAAGCAGCTTTTTAAGATTGACTAGGACTTGCCTAGTCACCTGTTTATCCTAAACTATACCTTCCATGAAATAAAGGAAGAATCTTAAGTTGGAGGGATGATTCTAGGGAATGCAGGTCCAGAATCATAAAAGACAAGTTAATTRTATTATTTTCTACTTAAAGGAAATTAAGTAGAATGTTAAACATATTTAAAGTAACCAAATCCATTAGCTAAGCAAAAAACATTTATGCTTTGGTACTTGTTGAAAAATCAACTCTCAGATATTTAAAAATTTAATCATCTTAGAATATCCTACTGTTGKAATATATCTGAAGGAAGCTTTTTCATTTACTTAAATAAATTGTATAATGTAGTGTTCTATTTATTTGGCAATCATACTTTCAGTCATTTGGAGCTGGGAAACAAGTGTACGATGTATCCCAGCATCACAGAATAAAGCAGTTAGATTTCATTCTGGTGAAGAGAAGAGTCCATCCTCATACCTGAGCCAGTTATGTTATTAGTAATTTCAGAATAATTTTCTTGATATAACTAGTTTTCCTAGCTGGCTTAATTTCTTTCTGAATTTACAACTGACAGATTAAGATCAGTGAGGTAAGCTTCTGAACATAAACCTGAGATAGCAGAGGAAAATGGCAGTGAGGGAGGAGAAAAAAGACACTTTTATAGGTAAGGAGAGAACCAYTATACATCAGAAAAGAAACTGATGTTGCAATAGATATCCTGGAGCCTCCAAGAAAAGATGCATTTATAACTGCATTACTTAAATTCTCTGGATTTTACTTTAGAACAGGAATGAGTGAGACTAAGTTTATATACTTGTTCATAGTGTAGTATATTAGGCCCTGCACTAGAGGTTGGGATACATGCATCCATGTATGTAAGGTATGTCTTCATTGGGATGGAGAAGTGGCAAGATCTGAGGTTAGAGAAATAGGCAGGAGTAGGTCCTAAAGGGCTAAGGACCTGGAAATTAAGAGTAGAGCCACTAAAGGAGTTTAAGAAGYATGTAGTCATGATGAGATTGAGTGGTGTGGAAGATGAATTGGGGAGAGGCTAAGATTGAGAGARGGTCTCTGTCCTAGCCTGTTTTTTTGCTGCTAATAACAAAGTACCACAGACTAGATTAGTTATAAAAATAAAAGTGGTTTATTTTGGCTCATGGTTCTTGTCCAAAATTGAGGGGTCTTATCTCTTGATGACCTTGCTTCCAGAGTTTTGATGTGACACAAAACATCACTTGGTAAGAGAGAGACAACAAGAGAGACCTAGGCATGCTGGCTTTTAAAAGCAGAACCACTCTTGATTTAATCCATTAGCCTATTAATTCATTAATAGCATGAATGGATTTATGTACTCATGAGGGTCCCACCTGGACCTACCTCTTAATATCTCATAATTGGGATTTAAATTTCAACATGAGTTTCAGAAGGCATAAATCATTTAAACCATAGCAGCCTGGTTAGAAGACTTAGTTTGGAATTGTGTTGAGAAATGGTAAGGGTGTGGCTCAAAGTAGTGCCAGAGGAAGTAAAGGATAATGATACATTTGAGAGAGGTTAAAATGAGATAGAGTTGACAGGATTGGTTGGCTGATTAGTTGTGATGGGTGAGAAAGAAGGATAAATTTCTTTTTTGCCAGCTTGGGCATCTGAGTAGATGGTGGCAGTGTTCATGGTCTTATGTAGTATTGGCAGAAAAAGATTTCTGTAAGATTGCTGRGAAAGACTTAGGAAGATGTTCAGTTTCGGACATATTGAATAGGAATATCTTTTAGACAGTTGAATATAAGTGTCTATGGCTCAAGAGAGTTCTGGTTGGAGAAAGAGATTTGGAAATTAACAGCATATGACTTGTAATTACAACTTTGGACTTGGATAAAATCATTGAGAAAGTAGATCAAATGAGAGGAGAAAAGGCCCAAAGGGAGGACCTTGAATCCCACCAGATACTAGGGAAGAGTAGAAAAAGAAAACCAATAAGGTAGATTTGGAAGGAGCAGCCAGAGAAAAAGAAGAAATTTTWAAAAAATACAGTATCATGGAAGTTAAAGAACAAGTTTATCAAGAAAAATTTTAAAAGAAAAAAATGAATCATCATCAGGATCTAAGGTGTCATAGAATTGAGGGAAAACAAATACAGAAATATTCATTTGATTTAAGAATAAACATGTTGATGCTGAGTTTGCAGTGAATCGTTTAGAGCAATAGGGCAGAAACAAAATTGAAGGGTATAAATGGCATTTGAGAAATAGGAATAAGTCTTTAAAGAATTTTGGTGGTGAAAGAGAACAGACAGTCAAGGTAGCTATGAGATCAGGGCAAGATGGGAGAGGTTTGCTTGCATTTAAGTCTTTGATGAACTTAAGCCAATAGAGAGATTAAGGGTGGGTGCTGGAGAGAGAAACTCCGATGGAGTGGAAGCAGGTAAAAGGGTTTGGGTTCCATAATATGTATGGAGTGATTAACCTTAGGGAAGTCTCTTTCTGTTATGATAGAAAGAAAGGATGAGAGTGTATATAGTCAACTTGTGTTGTTATTTTTATTATTGTTTTGAGATAGCCTCTTAATGAAATAGATGATGAAGGAGAAGAAGGAATTGTTAATAGCCAGTCAGAAGAAAGTGAGAATGAATTGGATAACTCTCTGAACTCTCAATCTAATAYGAACACAGACAGGTATGTAAATATGGCATAAATAGCTACAGCTTTTACCTTTTTTTCAAGCCTATTTCAAATGTTTATTGCATCTTTTTTTTATTAACAAAGGGTATATTTTTATTAAAAGTTTTGGTATTTTGATATAATTTCTGAAAAGTTTTAAAAGTAGAAGAAATACCTTCTCTGTACTTTTCACCCAAATATACCAGTTATTAACATTTCCCATTTTTGTTTTATAATTTTTCTCTTTTTTGTGAATTTATACACATACACACACATGCATATGTACACATACACATTTTTTAAAACTTTTTTTGTAGTTGTCGATACACAACATRCTTTTATTTATTTGTTTATTTTTATGTGGTGGTAAGGATCCAACCCAATGCCTCACATGTGCTAGGCAGGTGCTCTGCCACTGAGCTATAGCACTAGCTCCTACATACACATTTTTTGAGAACCATTTGGGAGTAAGCTACATACTACATGTTCCTTTATCTCCAAATAMTTCAGTGTGGACTTTCTAAGAGCAAGAATATTCATTCACAGAACCAYAATACACTTATCACAATCAGGAAATTAAGTTAATACCATACTACTATCAATTAGATTTCTCTAATTGCCCCATTCATATTAATTATGGTCCTTTTTTATTGTTTGGAGAACCAATCATGATAGTTTATTGTATTTATTTTTCACATTTCTTTRACTTTAAAGATCTGGAACCTTTTAAAATCTGATTATAGTGTTTGTCTGTCATAATGTCTTTGTGATTTCCAAGAAGTACATGAGCAGTTACTTTATAGAATTTCCTCTGATTTGGTGTTCTCTGATATTTCCTTGTTATTAGACTCAGTTTATACATTTGGGGCAGGAATATCTCTGAAGTGATGCTAAGTCCTTTTCAGTGTATCATATAATGAAACAGTGATGTCATGAGTGAGAAAGAAGGATAAGTATTGATGCTGTTAATTTTCATCACTKGGTTAGTGATGCYTGCCTGGTTCCTTTATTAGTTAATTATGTCTTCTATTTTGATGTTCATTTGTCACAGATTTGGCCAAAGAGAGCATCTTCAAGTCRTTCCTGTGTACTTTTTACAAATTATCCCCSTGTCCCCAACTTAATTTCTGGTACAACAGTCATGCCCTTGGCCTGGAATCAGCCATTTCTTTGAGAAGTCCTTATTTGTTTTATTGAAGAAGGGTGTTTAGAAATCAAGATCTAAGTATTAGGTGWGCTTATTGTACCTGACAATCCGGTTTTTAGTACCTTTCAGCAGGTACAAACACAGATACTCATATGCACCTATGGTCATATGCATATGCACATATCCATATTAATATCTTTTTAGTTATAAATTATGAGCTTATACTGATACTTTTAAGGCCAGTTTAATAYTATTGGATTTTGATTAGTCTTTCTAATCAATTCTATATTTGTATTTCTCTTCTTTCACACTGAGATGCATGTTTCTATGCATAGTATATTTACTTCTATTCAAGCTTACAATGCATAGAATGTAGTTTTGGAATTGTTGCTCCCATACTACCACAGAAATAAACCTACTAAGCAGAGTTCAAGATTGTTAGAGTAWGTTTTTTAAAGGTTATTCTATTCAYTTGAAATATAATTAGGTACATTTTTCTATTTATATTCATTTTAAAGTTTTTCCTTCCATCCTTTTCACAAAACCATACAGAAAGCTGTTTTCAGGGTAGTGTTACCCATGCCCTATCCCTTCTAATGATTTGCCATCTGTCCTTACTCTGTACRTAACTAGTTTAATTAGTTTTGGTTTTATTCTTCCTGAGTTTCTTTTTATAAATATAAGCAGATGCACGGATCTTATTTTACTATACTTATGTAGCTTACTATATTTGCCTTTATCCTGGAAATCACCTCACAGCTATTTAAAAATTTATAGGCTCTCCTTTTTCCCCCCTTTTTTATTGCAAATGAAAYAGGTGCATAGTTCTGAACTGTGTGAATGTATTATGGTTTGAACACTCTGGCCATTTAGGTTTTTTGCAGTTTTATAATTMCAGAAATACTGCAGTGAATAACCTTGAAGATATGTATTTTTTTTATTATGGGGGGGTCCATATTTAGGGAAAATTGTTAGACATAGGATTTAGGGCTTAACAGGTAAATGCTAAGCATTTTGTGAAGGCCATAATATTTTAATATTTTGCATTCTTACTGACTGTATGTATGTGTCTGACCAACAGAGTGTATTGTCAGGATTTTTAAAAAAATTTGCAATAATCTCATAGGTGAGCAGTGATATCTTAGTATAGGTTTACTTTTCATTTCTTTTATGAGGTAAATTGAAATACTTTTCATATGTTTAAGGGACCTTATAGTGAATTCTCTWTTCATATCATTTGTCTATTTTTCTAGGATTTGATCTTTTCTTCCTTAATTTGCAAATATCTTTGCATATTAAAATATTAGTCTTTTATCTGTGTAATGTAATGTGCTATAAATATTTTTCCTAATTTATCTTTTACATTTGTGGTGGCATTTTTTTTCTTGCCAGCAAAATATAGTTTGAACTTTTTTTTTTTTGCATGCGGATTCTGAATCATACTCTGAAATAATTTCCCAAAACCCATATTATTGAGGAATTGAGGAATTCATTCATGTTTTCTTTTAATACTTGTGTGGTTTATTTTTTTACATTTAGTTCTCTGATCACCTAGCTAAGATTACTTAACATTTTTTGGAGTATATAATATGAAGTCTGTGTCCAATTTTTCTTTTGTTAGATGACTATCCAGTTATCCAAATACTATTTATTAAAAAGACAAATCATTCTTGCCCTACTTATTTGAAATGCTACCTTTGTCACATATTAAATTACCATAGGTACTTGGATCCATTTCAGGATTTTGTACTCTAATTTGCAGGCCTTGTTTCTCCAGTCATGCTCCAGTACCACACTGTTTTACTTAGAGAGAATTTGTAGTGTTTTAATAGACTCACTCATAGCTTTTTTTTTTTTTCCCAGAGTTTTCTTGGGGATTCTTACGTATTTTCCATTTGAACTTTAGTATTAGCTTGCTTAACTTTGTATAAAAGCTTTTTGATATTTTCTGTTAGGA